TGATAATGATGATGATGATGATGATGATGATGATGATGATGATGATGATGATGATGATGATGATGATGATGATGATGATGATGATGATGATGATGATGATCATTTGTGCGGTTCTAGGTCCGTCGGTTTCGTTACCAGGCCGTTTTCACTAAAGGGAGGTTTATTAAGGGGAGGTTTGTCCACCGACGAGGGTTGCCCCTTGCTGCCTGGGGCGACCCCTCCGCCTGCAAGCTTTCCTGGTGTACACTAGAAACCCCGTGCAGCCGCAGGTGGGCTGGTCTCGTGCGCTTGTCTGGCCCCGGTGGGGCTGGCCCCTTGGCGCTCAGGTCCTGAGGCTTGCCGTCTCGGGCCAAGGCCTCGGCTGGCAAGGCCCGAGCCGCGCTCTTCGAGTCACCTTGCTCAGCGTCGCCAGCCTGCTGCCTGTCGCCGACTCCGCTGCCGCTGCTCCCCAGCAGGCCGCCTGTGGCGATTGCGCTGCTGGTCCACCGCCGCGGTTTCGCTGCCGGCCACCACGTGTCCGCTTGCCCCTCTCCTTCGGCCTGAGCTCTGATCGCCGCCTTCTTGCTCAGCCTGTTCCTTAGAACTCTCGGGCCCCCCAGCTTGCGGTGTCGCGATCTGGTAGCCGCATCGTCGGCCAGCTGCGGTTTGCTCCCGGTTGCAGCTGACGACTGGAGGTGCTTGAGGACGCCTTCGCCTAATGACGTTTTCCTCCTGTGTTGATCTCAGCAATTCCTGATGTCCACCGCTACACATCTCGAGTGCGAACGTGCATCAAAGGGTGCTCGCTCGTTCGTTCAACAAGACCCCCAGGGACTTACAACTCCAGTGCGGGCCTGGCGGGTGCGCGGGCGCAGCCTCCTCGCGGCCCGTGCCTGCGAGTGGCGCGTCCTCCTCGATCTTAGTCTGCGCAACTCGTTGCCATGCCGGGGTCATGGACTCTTCGCGCCCTGTCCGCCTACGGCCGTGTCGTGTCGTTTGGTGTCGACGCGGCGACGACCCGCGCGCGGGCGTTCAAGGTGGAACGCCGCCAGCGGCCCCGAATCGGCCGGCATCGAACGATCTGCGCCATCGGAGTGGCGCCAATCGTTCCAGGTTGAACGCTGCACGCGGTGTCAGAGGTCAGCGCTGGGGTCGTCACGACACAAACCTGCTGTAGTCACCAGGCGTGTTCCACTACTCGCAAAGTGCCTACTCGCAAACGTCCGAAAAGCACACATCCGCTTTGATGTAATTTATCGTAGATCCTCCGCGGGGGATCCGGCTTATTTGCGAGTAGGCGCTTTGCGAGTAGTGGAACGCGCTCGTCTATGTAGGGCCATCCCAGGCTTGCCCCAGACGAAGCCGCGTCGCCGTGTCGGCCTCTGCATGCGTGCCTTCCGGGCCCGGGACGCGGCCCTCGGCGAGGCACGCGGCCGTCGGAGGCTCTGCGAGCGTGCCGGGCCAGCCGCCTCGGCCTGGACGGGGCGGAAAGGGTTCCGCAAAAGGGACCACCCATTCCAGGCCTCCTAGATGGGGTCCGAGTAGATTCGGGTATAGCCAGGACGCCAGGTAAGGGGACCCGGTTAGCAGTAGGGCCCTGGAGCCCCTAAATGGACCAGAATCGCTAACCCAGGTCTGCCGTAGCTTTTGTTTTTCGGGTGACGGCAGTTCCGGTTAGTGGAACGGGGCGTGGGGGGCGTCCCCCAGGACTTTTCACGAAACCAGATCCCACTAAACCCAGTTCTGCCAACGCTCGATAGATGGGGTCGGAGGATTGCGCCGCATCGGCGATGCATCGGCGATGCGGCCCGATGCGGAGCCCGACTTTCTCCTTTCCAGCGTCGCCGACACATCGCCGACGTCGCTGATGCATCGCTGATGCATCAGCGATGCATCGGCGATGCATTGGCGATGCAGCGCGATCCTCCGACCCCATCTACTCGGACCCCATCTGAGAGGCCTCTACCCGTGCTGCCCGCAACGCCAAGCAGCCGCGTGGCCCTCCAGTGCGATGGGGCGCGCAGTGCCCGAGAGTGACTCTCCGAGGTGCCATGGTGGCGTTCTGATCTCGCACGAACGACCAAGCCCAGGAGCTCGGCCGCGAGGCACTTCGGCCGGCCGCCGAGCGGGCCAGCCAGCTGGCCGCCGAGCGGGCCAGCGCAGTGGATTAGGTCCGTGGATTTCTTCTTCCTGGATTCGCGAAACTCCTTCTCTTCTGCTTCCTTTCCCTTGCCCTTCGGCCTCTTCTGCTTCCTCCTCTTCTGCCTCCTCCTTTATCTTCATCGTCTGCCTTCTTCCTTCCTTCCTTCCTTCCTTCTTTCCTTCCTCCTCCTCCTTCCTCCTCCTCTTCCTCTTCTTATTCTCCTCCTCCTCCTCTTTCTCCTCCTCCTCCTCCTCCTCCTCCTCCTCCCTGTTCCTCCTCCTTCCTCGTTCCTCCTCCTCCTCCTAGCTCCTCCTCCTCCTTCTCCAGAGCCTCTTTCGCCGCCCCCTGACAGCGCATCTCCTCGCTGCTGGCGGTCCCCCGAGCGAAGCCGAAGCCGCGAG